GTTACCTGCTCCATCAAATAGATCTCGTAATTCGAGCTTCAGAACGCCTTATATCGCCAGTGCATCGACTCAACCTCCTTCTCCTCGCTAAGGAGCCTAAGGGACTCACCCTCATCCAGAGCTTTCCGAAGCCTAGCCCCATGACGGAGCAGATCAGACCTAAGCCTATCAAAGGCCTGCAAAAGAAAAACTCGATAAAGAAAGGAAAACGCAAAATACAGAAGGTCTTCACCGAAACTCACCATGAAGTGAAGCCGACAGACTTCCTCGAAGGCCGAGCACACTCCTGTTGGTCCAGCCCCTTCGGCCCTAGAAGAACCAACCTCGGTCGAGGCATATTCACTCGGAGGAACTACCGTTCCGGAACCAAATGCTCTGGGAACAGCAGGCTCGGGCGATGTCCTCTCCTCGAAGACATAGGCTCGTTTAGCCCCACTAAAAGCTCCATCGCGCTGCGAGTGTAAGTCCCCTTCACCTCCATCGTCCCTTGGCTCGGAGGCCGATGACTCCTCCCCCTCTCCGGAGGAACACCCGATACCTACGACGGCAAAGCCAGTAGAAAGGGGAAAATGTCATTTCGAATATACGTAGACCAAGGTGAAAGCAGCCTATGCGCATACCTTGATATTTCGCTTCCCATCTGCCACGGGACACAACTCGCCACCTACGCTCGTCGCAAGTTGAATGGGTCACCAACTTCCAGACCCAACCGGGCAGATCGGGAACTTCACCTGGCGTCCATGAAGTTGCTATAGAAGAGGAGGACACACAATTACTCAACTGGTTTTTGCTATAAGCAAATCTAAAAAAGCACGAGACACTCCACTCACGCGCGTAATTCCATCCCTCGGGAAATGGCATGAGCTCCACGGGGATGATGTCAGTCGTCCGAGCCCGGACGAATCGCCTGACCACTCTTGATCCTCATCTTCCTCATCATTGACAACAAAGGGCGTGGACGAGCAGCATCGCAAGGTTAACATGCCTCGATGATGAAAGGGCCAGTACAGCCTGACAAGGTGGCTACACGTGAATTAAAGCCCAGCCTTCTCCGCAAAGAACCTCATCATCAGTACCACTCACCAGGACGGATGTATCTACGCCAAAGTAACCCGATACTTCAGGCAGAAATCAAGCACGACCCTATTAAGGGGGCCTAATGCAAAAATGTATACGTATACATTCAAGAATCCATCAGCAGAGTCCGTAATACTCTCATCGGGGGAAAGCACCTGCAGCGCTATCCCCTCGCCCCATCCGCAGTATCTCCTTACCGTCTCCAGATGTTCCTATATTATCAAAGACATAATCTTTAGAGTGAACTCCCGTAGATCCTGAACACTAGGAGTGGAACTCTCCCCTCCCTGCCGGGCCAGCCCCGAAGTAGCTGCCATAGCTATGGTAGAATTGACTGACTAAAGTAAGGACATGCGCCAACACTTTTTGCGCCTGAAGAAACGAAGGACCCGATGCCAAGGCAGAAGGATAGATATCTAAAATAATGATATCTTCCAAAGAAGCAAAAGCCGCCCCACATATATGTGGGAAACAACAACAATTCGCCTATCTATAGTAAGCCCCGGGAGGCCAACGGCCTCGGTACAGATCCTGGGGTGGTACCCGACTTCCGAGACCTTCATCGACAAGAAGGTAGGCTTCAAGGAGCCAAATATATCATCTCCAGCCCCGAGGTGGTGCCCGACCTCGAGGACCTTCAGCAAAAAGAAGCCAGGCTTCGGAAAGCCTTCAGCGCCATCATAGAACTCGAGGTGGTACCCGATCTCGTGGTTTTCCTTTCTAAAACGAAAAGTAAGCACCTAAAGCTCCGCCCATGAAGACTCAAGGAAGGATCAAGGCATCGCCTAAGTATAGGCAACCCCTCAATGGAAGTCTATCCACTACGCTTTAAAAGGCTATCTACATCAAGTTCAAAGTATCCCCCAAGGTACCCGAAGCTGACCTTCGCTCAGGATACCGTTCTCAAAAACTTCGAAACTTAGCGTACTATCTCCATGCAACTTGAAGGGCCTGACGGCCCGAATCCATCGGACCAATTTAGTCTTGGTCCGATGTATGATAATGGGCTCGAAAAAGAGCCATGCCAATCGGTAGAAGATCGAAAAGAATACTCGCATCCAAGTTAGATATTAGCGGTCGACAACAAAGGAAAACGTTCAAAAACCTCGAAGCGCACAAGAACATACAACAATAAGGCATGTATCAAAAACAGGAATCAAGGAAGTATCTTTATATTCATGAATATTCATGTAGCACAGCCCTCGAGCGGCCCTCTCATATGATTATAAAAGCCTAGAGACTGGTCTACTTTCGAAGGTCTGCCTCCTGCAACAAGCGCCTCCGGGCACGCATCCTCAGAAGCCTCATCTCGGCCTTCCATACTGATATCCCCAAAGGATAGGGCGAGAAGCAGGGAGGGATGAAAAAATGCCATAGCTCTCCGAAGGTCGAGGACCCTCGCTGGCCAAGAGAACCTCAGAGAAATAGCGGACCGGGCGAGCCTCGGCCTCGCTTGCACGGCTACTTAGAGTCCACTTCTTGGAACATTTAGCCGTGCAAGCTACCAGCTTGAGGCAGAGCACCACGTCGAGCCAGGGTATGAAGGTGAGCAGTGGTGTACAATCCGAGCCCCTTTTTGAGCAGCGATATATAATCCGAAGAGCTTTTCGCGAGCAACGAAATTTGACCCCCATATGTCATCATCTCAAGCAAACAAGGACAACAACAACAGACGTAACAACAACCACAGCAGCAACAGGATGGCATGGTCGTGCTCGATAAAGGGAAGCCCCGGCAAGAGGCCGCAACACAGCCTGCGGGAGCTCTGCCGAACGGCCTTGAGGCCACGAGTCCCAAACATGATGTTCAAAGATAGACGAAGATGATAAGAAGAAATGGGCAAATGAGCAGATGAAGGCATCTTGGATATAAAAACTATGCCAAAGCACCCTCATTTATAGGGGGTAACTACACAGTCATTGAGGCTTTGGAAGATTGACCAACGGACGCAATTACTGCGTTCATGAAGAACCGAATCGATGGTGGTACATTCATCTTGAATAATGGAAATCGACAGTGCATTGAATGGTGTCAAATACACAAGTCCGTGGGATATCTCGGTTGTCGCAAATGCTTGCACTACAGGTTGCATCATTGGTATGACATCACCGCGAGAAACTTGTGGAGTTAGGTGTCAAAATCATTTCCCATCGCTTCGTTCTGGGAAACGCGGAGATTATTTATATGTGAAAAAATTAGAGGGCTTAATTTCTCGCTATCAAGCCACTTCGGAAGAATACCTCGAGACCCCGAGAACGTGGAGTTGCGACCGAGTCCTCTCCTTCGGGGCTCATTGAGGCTCGACTCAAAGAAGACGAAGATCGAGGCTGGAACAAAAAGGGGAGTTCCCTAGGCACACGGCTAAGTCTGATAGAGCCAGCCTACCCAGAGCCTGTGTCGAGGCGTTACGTCTAGCCGTCCCATCTCCATGCTCTTACAATTAATGTATGTTGTACTATGACTGGATTCCCCCTCCTATATAAAGGGAACCCACGCTACTTTGTAAGGGGCTGCTGTTACTCCAACTATCATACAGAAGATCAATAATATCTCTCTCTCTCTTTCTTCTCTCTAACTTGTTCGCTCTTACTCACTCGAGGCTACTCTTTGCATTTATTGCTTTCATACTTATTCTTCGCTTATTGTTTGGTCTTGCCCATAAAGAGCCTCATTTGATCATATTTTAACTATTATCCCTTCCCGATTACCCTCGATAGATCGAGCTCGAGCCAGATATCGACCCTGAGGTCCTTCATCGGCCCATCCGAATCTCGGGCAACAAGCCCCTCGGTTTGATTACTATCCCGTTTTAGCTCGTACCTCATCGTCAAAACTTCATACTCTTAGCATCAACTACTCTAACAACTATCATAAAAATAAATCACGTATTTTTAGAATCCCATTTTACAAATTTAATTGACATTACCATTTTCACGGTAAACAATTATAACTCTACTCTAGTTCGTATTTCGCCGTTAAGCTTCACACATCTAGCATCAACTGCTTTAACAACTAGCATAAAAATAGATGATCCATAATTTCAGCAATATTGAAGCACTAATAGTACAACCTCAAAATATATGATCCATAGTTTATTCACAAGATCTAACACCACATAATTAGAAGACAAAATAAAATCCAAAGGATTTGATCTTATCACCAATAGACAGCTTTCTTTGTAACAAACTCCACCTTAGAGGATAATTTAAATAGATGAGGCTTCATCAAAGGCATTTTATTCATAAGAGATGGACTTTTACGTTGTTTAATGAGGTTTCATGCATTCAAGCAAATAACTTTTCTTATAAGTAGATCCAATCCAAACAACCTAGTCATATTTTGATACCAAATGAATTTTAATCCCACCTCACTAGAAAAATCTAGGAACAGAGTGAGAAAACTTCAGCAAGTGACACCACAACATTGCATACTACAATCTCCTTTCCTTTCCTAACACAACACGTCATATTTGGGTCAAAGATTTTTTTCTTTTGTTCTTTTTAACTTTGGAATAATAAAAAGACAAACTTTTTAGACTATATAACAATTAATTTAATCAACTTTCAGTATTTATTTTCATTTTTTTGAGAAAGTGCTCACAATCCCAAAAATACAAGTATTTACAGTTGCATTCAAAGGGACATCTAACCAGAGAAAGACTTCTGTTATCTACATTTCTTTCTTCTCACAAACAAAACAACTAAAGGGAGATTTCGTTTATTCCCTCATCCTCCTTGCTCTACACCCAATCTTTAACCCTAACCATAACCGCCATCCTCACATCTCGATACTCCCACTTTAAATCCTACACCGCAATAATAAATATTCAGCATAATTCGTACAAAATATCATCATTCTCTGCTATCAATATTCACTAAAAAAAATTTTAGTCTTCAACCAAAAAGAGAAGAAAAGTGACAAACCTGTTCAAATTGATAACCATTGTTATTGTTAGTTTGTGAGTCTTCACCCAGTTCAAATAGATATCACGTGAGTCTTCAGACTTTAAGACATAAATTTGAAAGAGTTGATTGTTAAGGACTTCATATGCTTTCAGATTAAAAAACACATAGAGAGAATAGGGTTTCATTTTGGGGGAAAATACGAGAGAGAGGGGGGAGGGGGTTGGTGGGGGTTAATTAATATGCGTATTCATATTTCATCTAATAAATAGGAGTAATTTTTTGTAATAACCCAAAATGTCATCTTTAAATTAAATAATCATCTCGATGTTTTAAGACCTTGAAAAGTGGTATCAATAATTTTTCGACTTGCGTGCGCAGTCCGTATAATTTTCCGGAAGGTTTTTATGTGAAAAATTGATTAAATTGTGAACTAGAGCTTTAAAACTCAACTGAGTTGACTTCGGTCAACATTTTGAGCAAACGAACCCGGATAAAAGTTTTTACCATTTCGGTAGTTCTGTATCGTGATTTGGGACTTGGTCATATGCCCAAAAGTGAATTTGGAGGTCCCTAGATCAAATTATCGCCATTTAACGGAATCTAGAAATCTAAGGCTAAAGATTTCTTAAGTTTGACCGGAGAGTTGAATTTTTGATATCGGGGTCGGAATCTAGTTCTGAAATTTTTTATAGCTTCGTTATGTCATTTATGACTTGTGTGCAAAATTTAAAGTCAATCGGACTTGATTTGATAGGTTTTTGCATCGAATATAGAAGTTGGACGTTCTTAGTTTCATTATGCTTGAATTGGGATGTGATTCACGGTTTTAGCATTATTTGATGCGATTTGAGGTTTCGACTAAGTCCGTATCATGTTTTAGGAGTTGTTTGTGTATTTTGTTGAAGTTCTGAGGGCCTCGGATGGATTTCGGAAGGTTAACGGATATAAAAAGGCTGTTGAATTTTCTTTTACAGCATGTGAACAGTACCCCATGAACAGTGCCGTGTACAGTACCCCGTAACAGTACCGTGTACATTACCCCATGAACAGTGCCGTGTACAGTACCCCATAAAGATTACCCCGTGAACAGTCGTGAACAGTGTGAACGCGTGAACAGTACCCGAAATTTTTCTGGACAGAACATTAAGTTCTGAAAATGGGACAAATTTTCCATTTTTGTCAAATTGGAGCTCAGGAAGAGGCGATTTTCGGGAGATTTTCGGAGAAAACAATGGGGTAAGTGTTCTTAACTTAATTTTGGTTAGATTACCCGAATCTATTACTAGTTTTGGTATTAAATCTATGAATTTAGTTGGAGGAGTTTGAAAACTCTCTCGGATAGATTTGAGGATTTGAGGGTCGAAATGTTATCGAAATTTAGTAATTTTGGTATGTTTAGACTCGTGGTTGGATGAAGTTTCATATTCCATAATTTTTGTCGGGTTTCGAGATGTGGGGCCCACGGGCGAATATTTAGTGCAATTTCGGATTTTAATGGAAAATGTAGAATTTCATATGGATTTAATTCCTATAATTTTTATTGACTGAATCGAACTGTTTATGACTAGATTTGAGAATTTCGGCCACGAATTCGCGAGGCAAAGGCTTGTTGGAATTTTGAATTGGTTGCAAAGCGAGGTAAGTATTTGGTCTAACCTTAGCTTGAGTGATTAGGAGTTGTGTCTTATTTGTTACATGTTAATTGTGGAGTACGACGTATAGGCATGGTGACGAGTATCTATACGTTGGTGTCAAGCTTGCCTGTGAGTCTTGTATTATAATTATTGTGAGCACGTGATTTTTGCCCTATGAGAACTATTCCCAAAAATTCAAAATAAAATGGTTTTTGTGTTGTTTGTAATTTATGTGTATTTTGTCTATTTTCTATTTTAAATGAGAAAAATGCAAAAAAAAAAAAGATGTGTTGCATATGCATTTAGGATTTAATTTTGCAAGTTAGGATTTAATTTTACAATTCAGGATTTAATTAAGCAAGTTTATTTTACAAAATAGAAAAATCACAAAAAAATATATGCTTTGCATTTAATGTCCGAATTGTGTAATTTTATCTTTATTTGATGTTTAAATTCATGAGATAGCTATTATTGAGGGTTAATGATTTAGCTAATTGTCAATTTTACAATTAGGATTTTTAGTGGGTAATTAGGAATTAAAAAGAAAAAATGTGGAAGAAAAGGAAGAAATAAAAGAGAAAGTCGGACTGAGCCAATTTTAAATTGAATAGACCAGGCCCAAACCAAAACAACCCCCCCTTACAGCCCATTCCAAATATCCTTTTACCCGGACCAGTCCGTTTCAGGGACAAACCAAACGACGTCGTTTAGTAGCGCCCAATCTGGGCCGTTGATCTCAGCTGATCAACGGTCCAGATCAACTCCTCTATCACCCGACCCGTTCCCATCCAAGACCGATCCGGTCTCAAGGGTGAACGAAGCGATGCCGTTCCTCTTAAATGAAGNTGGCCGTGAAAATAACACCCCTGAACCTCCTAACCACCCTCAACACGATTCCATACTCCATTAACTTCGAATCATACCCCAGCTTCTTGAATCTTCGATCAAAGACCCCGTCCCAAACCCTAGCTTGTCCACTTAACCCCAAAATCACACCCAATAATCCCCTTGACCTCCTTGTCACTAATCCCTAACCAGATTGGCTCGAATCCAAGTAAAAACTCATCGAATGGCGGATCTAGGGCTCGACAGTTCGAGATTGTTTCGAATCTGTCAGGGTCGAACGGTTTCTGGTTAGTATTATAAGTCTATTTCTGATGAAATAGACGTATAATACTAACTGGAAATCAAGTTCGTAAGGGCGTATGGTTGAAATCCGAGAAAAGAACAGTGAGTTCTTCTTAAATTCTTTTTCTTTTTCTATGTGTTTGTTTGTCTGTGTGATTAGTCGCTTCTTTAGGGTTTTTAGTTTAAGTTAATCCAGTATGTATATTCTATTTCTTTTTCTGATTTTGGTTAGATTAAATATTCCAATGTTGTTTGAGTAGTTCAATCAACTCTTGGTTTACCTAAATTAGGTTCATCGTAATTCGTCTATTGTCTGTTATTTTCTCTCTTCTCCATCAGTTTATGTTTTGTCGATTAATAACATAGGTTATAAATAGTTTCGTCGATTAGTTCGTTCTTGTTTGTAAACCAATAAGCTCGTCAAATGGTTGTTATGTATGCTTGATCTGTGGACACTTAGCTTCAGGGCATTGTCAATAGGCTGACAATGAACCTGCATTCATGTACATTTTGATTCAATTTTCAATTTCAGTTTAAATGATTCTGTCTAGTTCTGTGTGGTGATTTAAATTTAGTTCATTTGTTTCAATACAAATTCAACCTTAATCATTTAGCTGTCAATAAGTTTGGTTATAGCTGTTAGTCAGATTTAGTTTTTAAATCTTTGTTAGCTTGAACAGATTTCAGAATTAAAAGTTTTAATACAGTTGAATAATTGTATTAGGGACAGTAATATTAAGGGATTTCAGGGGTGATTTGGGAATGAAACAGTTAGGATAATATTTTAATGTTAGTGTTTTGTTAGTGGGATATTAATGTCTTTAAATTAATATGGTAATGGGGAAAAAAGGGAATGGAGGCTGAAAATAAGGAAAAGTTTTCCTTAGTGGGATTTTAAGTGGAAAAATTCATATTTTTAGTAGGAGAAGGGGGTCGGGTAGTAAGTTTAAAAGGAGGGCAGGTCTGCATAAGAGGAAAAAAAGGAGGTCTGTAGAAGGGGACTGGGATTAATTTTGAGATCTTGGGAGTTGAAAAGAATAGCTACTGTTTTTCATCGCCTCACTTAGGATCTGAAAAAGCTAGAACATTTCCTCTTTATACTTCTGATCTATACTTGGGGAAGTTCATAGCTGCTGGTTATTTGTTGCTGCACTACTGTTGCAACTTCTGTTTGCTACACCTGCTACTGCTGACTCTCTTCTTCTTCTTCTTGTATTGTCAATACCAGGTGCATGCTTCGAACTCCCTTGATGTAGTTCCTTGAAGTTCACAAAAATGGAAATATTCACAAATTTGTGTTTATTTGTAGGCTGCCTGTTGTTTACAATTAGATGAACTGTTAGTTAATTATACCTAGTGGGTATTGGTTAGGTGTTTTGTATTATGTGAACATTGGAGACATACGGATTGTAATTAAGATCTAACTAAACTGCTATGCTCATGTTGACATGCTTTTAATTTACAAATTTAAACTGCTATGTTCATGTTGACATGCTATTAGTTTACAAATTTGAGCTGTTAGGTGGTCAGTTCGCCTCACCTAAACATGATTTGAGTTGGAGTTTGTGGTTATAATTGCTGCGCTGGTATTTTAGGAGTGAGTTTACTTAAAGGATGATTTTGTAATTGTTGGCATTAGAACGTATTCAGCCATTGTTTAGCGTATCTGTTTGTTGGTGATCTTATGGTAGAACTCAATTGTTATAAGGTTTTGTTGGCCTTTTTGATTAGTTGGAAGTTTGATTCCTATTATGGCTCCACCTTGGTGACTGATTGAAATATGTTTGTAATTTATTGCTTACTGCTAATTGACAAAGGGTACAATCTATTGCTTCTATTTCTATACCATGTTCTTTCTAGAAGTCCAGGCAACAAAATCCATTAAAAAGGAAATATAACAACCCACTTCTTTATGCTTGAATACTAGTTGATTATTGTTACAAAAAAGCTCATGTCTAATAAGCGACAAAAATAGAGGCGAACGAACTTGAGATTTTGAATGATGTCATATAATATTTGTTTGGTTGCGCTGATTTTGGTTCCGAATTATTCTGTTAATGAGCCGTTTCGATAATTGTTTAAGCCATAAGGCCATTGTGAAACAAGGTATGTATAGTCTTGCAACTCATTTGGGTCAGCTGCCAGCCCAATGCCATTTCAGTTGAACGCTTAGCTTCATTTTAACACAAGCCCAATAGTTATTAAGTTAGTTTGAACATTAGCCTAAAATAATCAGAATTCCTTTAAGCTCTCCTTAATTAATTAGACTCTTACGATTGGTTTGAGATGCCCCATATTAGCTAAGCCAACAATTATGGCCCTCACTTAATTAACTTTAACCCTTTAGAAATCGAGGTGTGCCATTTAGTGAATTTTCCATGGCCTTGCAAAGTTAAAAACGCATAACGACTTTTAAGGGCGGTATTTTAATAAAGTTATTTTCGTAAATTCGGGT